GTCATGATTTGTTCCTAGATTTTCAATGAGATAATGGTGCCTTCTTAGTTCTTTGCCTTCTCATTCCAAATGAAAACAAAGTTTTGCACCGTTATCATCACCAAGGAGACTATAGTTTCTCTTTTAGTTTTGTTTTCTCATTTTGTTATGTGGTCACATCTGGAATAGTGGTTGTTTGTCTTCTCAACGATTCTTTGTTGAATGTTAGTCTTTTACAATCGGATTTCATTTTCCTCGATCTCGGAGTTGATGATCAAATTTGGTATGAGCAAGACTCTGCTTATTGATGTCCCAAAGATGAAATGGTTTGTGCTTATTGGTGATCAACCATTCTTATGATAAAATGATTCTTAATATCGAGGTATGCTAGATTTTCTTTTCCTTTTTGATAGTTAGAGGTTTGTTTGCTTTACAAATGAATTTGCATATTGTATGAATGAGCATGTCCTTTTGTTCCCAGTGGGCTTTTGTTCCTTGTTCTCTGTTTTCCTATTATGCCTTGATAACAACTGATAGTGCCTTGTTGATAATGGTTATCTTTCACTAACATATACCCATGTCATTTTTTTTAGATGTTTTATGCATATAGAAATCTTGACACACTAATTAAGGCTCAAAAGTTCATATTGAGTTGAACAAATTTTCCTTATCAAGGTCAAGCACAACTTAAAGCATATAGTCAGCTTCTTCCGGTCATTTAGCAATATGTTTAGTTGTTTGTGCTCTTTCGATACTGCATAAAAACATTATAGACAATGTGCTTTGTCTTTTTAGATTACATTTTAGAAATTCCCTATGTTACTATAGTATAAAAATACATAATAAACAGATACAGATCGATAAAATTAGGTTTCTAATATTCTGGATCCCTTTTTTGTGCCGTCGAATAAGCACTGCTACATTAATGTAATATAAGAAGTTTCATATACAGCCAAAACACAAACTGAAAAACAACAAAACAAGACCTAACTAATTACCAAACACTCAGGACACTAAATAGAAAACTGAACAGGCCATAGACACCATCTGTAGCAAATATAAAACTCATAAAAAACTCTCTCTGTATCTAAATTGGTTTTAAAAAAAAAGTGAGTTTGGACATTAAAGATATTTTGGTCTTTTCACAGTTTGAAAAGCAATATACTCTTGTCTTAATTGAACTAGTTTAACGCACCCTCTTTGCAGGGTGTGTGAGTGTACATAATATTAAAAAAAAATTTAATCCATATAGTTTTAGGTTATATGTTTTAAGATTTAAAATAACTCATATGATATATTTCAATGTTAGACTAGTTTTAGCAAGTCTATATAATGTATTTTGTTAAGTTTAGTTAGTATATAAATTTGGTACCTTAGTTTAGGATTTTTCATAAATTTTATATAATTTTCATTATTCATTACAAAGAACTTGAATGTTAAAAAAATGTTTTGGACTAAAGTGAAATTTTTTTAAAAATTGAGGGATTAAATTGTAAGAAACAAGTTTGCAATTATGGACCTAATAAATGAATTTGAGCTTCAAGTACTAAGGTGTTTATAAAGCAGGAAAAGAAGAACAGAGATGTGCTATTTTACTATTAAAAAAATTGCTTCAGATCTCAAAACCCGATGTGGGTTGGGTGTTGACATCACCTCTGTTGGTGTCGACACAATGTGTCAAGAATTTGGTTTCATCAATTTGAT